ATGGTCGACTTATGATAGTGATGGTGAAAGTTTGAAAAAAGCATTGGATGCTCTAACCAATGGCCAGTTACTTAGTAAAGTTATCAGAGAATATGGTCCCTGCAAAAACTTTAAGAAGACATGAAAAAGCCATGACAACATCTCCGGGAACTATAAAGCTTAGTCGGTTGTCAAGCGATCTAAAGATTTGACTCCTTGTGGGACATGTTCACAAATTTTTTGTAATGATTTCACAGGATTTCAATGAATAAAATGCCAAAAATGTAACAATTTTTATTTTATGTACAATAAAACTGTTAAAATTTTTTTACATTTTCGGATTTGAAACTATTTTTAAGGCTTATTTTAATAGTTTTTCTACACAGGCCTTTTGCCCCATGCATGGGGCAAAAAGCCCATTTTATAGAGGTCTACGGTTTGTGTTATAAACATATGTTTGAACAATTTAATTTGTAAAATTAGAGAAAGGACATATTAATCTAGTAAAATAATCACTAATGTTGTAGAAATATTCCATTATTTAGATGAAGTCACTCATCAAAGGCTTAACTATGGCTTCTTGCCCCACCCTACCCTACTTATGAGGCGTAATACCATGTGTATGTGACGAACCGAAGGTATGTCCGTGCAGTGTGCATTGAGCTAGATGAAGAAAAAATGCACAATGCTGAACTATTTGAAGCCCTGGCGGTTTTGACACTCAGAGAATTTGAAGTCAATGAAAAGATCCAGTTCATCAGTCACCACTGAGAACGAGTACTTGTATGTTTTCCATAACATGCCATCTTTAGGCGATTGGGACCCTCGACCTGCTGTACTGCTGTGGTTGGATCGGACAGAACACAAAGTATAAAGTACACCAAAAGCAAAGGAGCAGGTTTTGGTTCCACGGAATATATCCTCAATCGACAGAACAGCATGAGACAGGCGATGAAATTTTGGATGAAGTTAGAAGCAAAACAAGACTTTCTATTCATTTTAAATGATTTTATTACATAATTACACTATCATTTTATTGCGCAGATAATTTTATGATTCAAAAAATGTTTTTATTGAAGAAAAATAATAAAATTTAATTACTTTTTAACTGTCTATAAAGCTTCAGTTATTCAATGAAAACCATTTGCATATGTGCAGCATACAATATTTTATGTTGCTTCACGCTAAAATAACTCGTTTGTGGTCGCAGTGAGTGCCTGAGTGTAGGTAATTGTAAGTACGAATTATTAGCTACATTTTTTGTTTTATTACTGCCCACAACTTTACATTTTGTCTGCCCAGGGGGCTTTTTCTCACAGACCAAATATTTTTCGAACTACACATTTTGGGTCCATCTGCCAAATACAATAAAATCTTCTCAAATGATACTTATCATGTGATAGTAAAATAACGAAATCAGACGTTCAATGATAATTTCTGTAAAAGGAATGATGAGTTTATAAACAGTGGCTTTTCAAATTTTTTCAGATGATTCTAAATTGTTGCAGTAGTTTTGTAAATAATTATTTTTTGAAGAAAAGAAGGAATCCAAAAAAATTATTTCAAAATAATTTTTTTTAAATAACAGTAGTAAGAAAAATTCAAGGGGGAATAATTAAAAAAAGAAAATTCCCCTCTGCAGAACTTTGTGTAAAGTCATTTTGAAGTTTTTGAAGGAAAAAATATGAATTAAAAATTTAGGCGTAAATATTTAAGTAAATATTTAACTGAATTTTTTTTAAAGTTTATTTTAAAAATGTTGAGAAAAACAAGTTACTAAAAAAAAAGATTTCTGAAATTAAAAAAAAATGTGTCATTTATGTTCATGAAAAAAATCACACAACTTTTTAAATTAACGAGTTGAAATTGTAAACAATTTTTTGCGAAATGAATCATTCATATTAGACAGAAAAATCTGTCATCCATCATTCAGCTGTTATTCTTATTTTTATCTTTATTTTCATTATTACTATTTTTTATTATTATTATATCGCTATTTTGTATTGTATCGCAGTGCTGTTTCTTAATATTCAATATCTCTGACGTTACAGTTTTATTGCAACCATGTATACAAGTATACAAACGAGTAACCACACACACATAGGCAACAGATGCATACATGGACAAGTTGGTCATGAGTCGATGATGGTATTCAGTAAATTGTGATGGTCGAGTCATTTCAGCCTGAAACCGATAAAGTTGCTAAATGCTTGATCAAAATTGAATGTTGGATGTCAAGCAATACCTAAAAATTGAATCAAAACGAAACCCAGATGCTTCCTGTTGGCACATAGCAGCAGTTATCAAAGTTTAAGGTAAACTCGGTCAGGTTTGATGATGTTGAGGTCCAGAAACAATGGTTCATGCATTTATTACGTCGATGCTAGATTACTGCAATAGTCTATATTTCAAACTACCGAGAAGATCAATGGCTGCCCTTCAGTTGGTCCAAAATCAGGCGGCAAGAATTGTCACGAAAAGGCAGGGGTTTGAACATGTGACTCCAATCTTGAACGAGCTAAATTGGTTGAAAATCGAGAAGAAGATATTTTTCAAAATTGTCTGATAATGTTTAAATCCTTACATGGTTTGGCGACGAATTATTTGTCACGTGGGTTCATAAAGAAAACGTCTGATTCGCACTTGAGATCGAATTAAATGAACTTGCTGTTTATACCAGCTACATATCTGCAGATTGCATCACAGAACATTTTTGTCGCTGGTCCTGTTGTTTGGAATGGTCTGCCATAGTGCCGCCAAGAAGATCTGCACTTACGTCGGCTACGTTTAAAAAAGAACTGAAGACTCATTTATTTTCTTGAATTGTTTAATTATTGTTTAATGATGAATACAGATTTATTTTTGCAATACGAACAATGTTTTCTTTTGAGTTGGTTTGACTAATATTTCTCATCATTTATTCTTTTGTTTAAGATTTGTTTGAGTGAATTTTCTTTTAATTTTTTTTTGTTTTTAAGAGCGCTTCTGAGATCTTTTTGGTAATAGCGCTGTATGAATTGACTTGTAAAAATAATAGTACATACATACATACACGGAGTGTATGTATGTATGTATGTGTATACACTGCCAAAGTTTATTTCAGGTGCCACATGCGCTGGCTGGAATACCCAGAGTTGGTGCATCAGAACTGAGTTTTTTAGGCACACCCTTGGTCGAGGGCAATTACCAAATAAAGTTTTTTGACCAAAAGCTCTCTGAGCTTAAATTCGCCCTGAGTCGTGTTTCCTGTCTTTCGGCCCATGATGCCTTGACTATTATCCGCAATGCCCTCAGTTTGCCCAAATTGATGTACTTCCTGCGTACATCCAAACACATTGATCCTTCTAAATTGGGCGAATTTGACAGAACCCTGCGCACCGCCCTGTCGTCGATTTGCAATGTTCAAGTGACCGACAGTGGTTGGTCCTAGGCTCAGCTGCCGGTGCGATTTGGTGGGCAGGGGTTGCTTAGCGTGGTTCAGCTGGCTCCTGTTGTTTATAATTCTTCTGCCGCTGCCACTCTCGACCTGCAGTCTTCCCTGCTCCACCGGTTTTTTCGTTGCCGCGATATTCTTCCCCCAGTGTCCGCCCCGGGAGACCGTACGCACGTCCAAATTTTGAACGAAGAATATAAAAAAATCTTTCAAAATTTGTTGTCTTCATGCGGCGACGACTTTTCCACCGCTCGTTTGTTGGCTATGTCCAGCGTTGCCAGCTGTGGGTGGTTGAGATCGTGGCCCAACACCTCTGTGGGCACCAGGCTTGACGACGAGTATGTGAGATTTGCCATTGGTTTCAGACTTGGCCTGGTCATTCAAAATAAATACACGTGCCGATGTGGCGCTGGGGCGGACGAGTTTGGGCACCACGGTTTGGTTTGTCGCCTGGGTGGGGGCCGTCAACTACGTCACTCAGCATTAAACGACTACATCTGTCGGCCCTTCTCCAAGGCTTCAATCCCGGTTCTCAAGGAACCATCCGGCATTTCTGCGCATGATGGTAGGCGCTCGGACGGATGCACACTAATACCTTGGAGAGCCGGTAGATGTTTGGCGTGGGATGTTACGGTCCCTGGCACCCTTGCCGAACGATACGTAAACCTGACAAGTAAAGAATGCGGTTTGACCGCGGCCAGGGCAGCGGACGAGAAAATTAAAAAATATGGGAACGCCCTCCCTTCGATGGAATTCTTGCCAATATGTATCGAGGTTCTCGGCCCGATGGACCCCAACACCCTTAAATTTCTTAAGGCAATATGTAAAATGATTAGCGTCAGATCAGGCGACATCAGGGAACTGTTTTTCGCAACTAACCACATTTCGTGCTTGTTGCAGCGGTTCCTGCGTGTCTGTGTGCTTGAAAATATCCAGCTGAACGCCAACATGTGCAATTAACGACAAATCAAAGTGTTAATCCATTTGTTACTTGATGTTTGGTGTTTACTTGATGTTTACTTTCATGTCCAATAGTCAAGCTTTCAAACATCTAACAAGCTTGAATTGTTATAATTTGATACTTGATATAGGCGAGTGCATATACATATATATATATATATATATATATATATATATATATATATATATATATATATATATATATATATTGTTGATTTACACGTTGCACGCTGATTTTGGCGCTTAAAACTTTGTAGAAATTCTTAGGATTAATAGCGTTTTTTAGTTAATAGTTCTATATATTCGCTTCATTTAAAGAATTGAAATATTGTTTGTTTTGTTGAATTTAATTTGTGGAATAAGTAATTTAAACATTGTTATAATTTTTGTTTTTCGTTTTTTAAAAAAGTCACCTTGACAACTGTGTTGTTGTGCCTGGATATTTTGTTTTGCTGCAAAAGATTATAAATAGTTTGGTTTATTATTTTCACTGTGCCTGTGAAGCATTATGTCTAAAGATACACGTTCGACTACTAAAGGCATCAAAAATGGTGTTAATAGCGTTACATGCTGTTTTTGTGATTAAGTTCCGCCTGCAGAAAGTGTACCTAAAGACATTCTGCCTGCCATGAACAACTGTAGAAATCTCAGATACATTTGTGATGGTTGCCTCAGGTCTTTCGATGGTTTGAAAACATTGACCAAACCAATTCTGGATAAAAATGATGAAATAGAATTGGAAATTAAAAAGATTTCTGAACATACAACCGCGTTATGTAAAGATTTTTTGCGATATCATCATCCTTGATAGAATAACTCTATCAAGGATGATGATATTTTAAGAGTCACCAAACAAGGGAGAAAAATTGATGATTCCAAAACTCCACGTCCAGTTATTGTTAAATTTGCCAGTTTTGTCATCAAAAACAGAGTCATGCGTAGTATTTCGAAAATTAAGTCTCTCGAGGGTGAATTCAACAAAATCAAAATCAGTCATGATCTAACACGTGATCAGCGCGTTGAGCTGCGAGAATTGATTGCTGAAGCTAAAACTAAAGAAGCTAATGATGGCCATTTTTTATACAGAGTGAAGGGCCAAGTGGGACGCTGGAAAATAGTAAAGCTTCAAAAAACTGCAATCATCTAGTATTAAATTTTGGTCTTCTTAATATAAGGTCTGTTATAACAAAGTTTAATGTTGTTTATCAATTGTTATCTGGTGGATTGGATATTTTCCTTTTGTGTGAAACGTGGCATGGGTCTCCTGAAGATCCTTCTATTCAGTTGGCCATGCCGCCAGGTTTTAGTTTCTTGTAAGTGTTGAGGACTCATGATCCTTACCATGGTGGTCTTATTGTTTTTTTCAAGAAGATGTTCAAGGCCAGGAAAATTGAAGTTCCGGTTTTTCAGACCTTCGAGGCTATTATAGTTGAATTTTCTTTTTAGCGTCGCAAAGTTTTTGTTTTTGGTATTTACAGACCAGGTTCAAAATTGGTCACATCTTTGTTTTTTGGTGAGCTGACATCGGTGTTGGAACATTTATTTGTATTGGGTGATGGTTTGATAGTGGCTGGGGATTTTAACATTCATATTGAAAGGCCTGGTGATACACACTCAATTAATTTGCTTGAAATATTTGATTCGTTTCAGTTAACAAACGTGGTTAATGAGCCTACCCATAACTTAGGTGGCACACTTGATTTAGTTACGTCCACTCCTGATATTCCTTTGTTTAATTGTAGAGTGGATCCTAGTGGTGTTTATTCAGATCATGGTCTGATTAATGTTTCATTCTCGGTCAGTATCAGGCTACCATTGACAACAAGGCGGTGGTACGCTCTTGAAACCGTTTGGATGCACATCGTTTTAAATCACTAATTTTAAACTCTCCAATCAGTGGTCCGTTTGATAGTGATGATGTGGATGATGCATTTGTGTTGTTTGATCGTGAGAAGAGGAGGGTTGTTGATGAAGTGGCTCCACTACACTATGTCAACTCTAAACATGTGCCATTAGCCCCTTGGTTCGACGGAGAGTGCAGGGATTTGAAAAGGCTATGTCGCAGATTAGAACGGGTTTATCGAAACAACCCAAGTGATATAAATAAGAATATCTGGCGACAAGCTATTAAAGATAAATATTGCTTGTTTGTCAAAAAGAAAAATTGTTATTGGAAAGACTTGGTGGAATCAAATAGCAACAAACCAAAACGTCTTTGGAATGCCGTTAACGGTTTGCTTGGAATGGAACAGGTAATGGATGTATCAGAAGTTGATCATAGTTCTCTTGACTTTTCCAAGTTTTTCAAAAGCAAAATTGATGATGTTCGTAATTTAACCAATCATTGTGATGAACCAACATTCACTCCATGTGATCTTGATGAAGAATCTTTTTTTTCAAACTTCTCGCCCTGTACTGACAGCTACATAAAAAAAAGTCATTTTAGAGTCTCTATCAAAATCTTGTTTTCTTGATTGTGTGCCCACAAAAATTCTTAAAAGATTTGTTAATTTGTTTTTACCGTTTTTAACGTTTTTCATAAATTTCTGTTTAAGTTTTGGCTCATTTCCATCAGCGTTTAAAAATGCTGTTGTTACACCGATTTTGAAGAAGAATTTTCTTGATAGACATGAGTTAAAAATTACCGACCTGTATCTAACCTTATGTTTTTGTCAAAGTTGATTGAAAGAATTGTTTTATCACAATTTGCTTCTCATTTGAAAATTCATAATCTTCTGCCGGTTCACCAGTCGGGTTATCGTGTGTTTCACTCGACGGAAACAGCTTTAATTGATGTTTCGTCAAGGTTGTATTCATCAATGGACGAACAAAATGTGTCATTGCTTGCTCTCTTGGACATGAGCTCGGCGTTCGATTGCGTCGATCATGCAATACTTCTCAAAAAACTGAAGCAAACATTTTGACTATCGGGAGTTGTTCACAAGTGGTTTGTGTCGTACCTTGCTGGTCGTACTCAACAAATTTTATTCAAAACAAATTTGGCAGCTGTCGGTGCTTTGTCATACGGTGTACCACAGGGCTCCGTCTTAGGTCCCATTCTCTTTTTGCTTTATACAGCAGATGTCTACACAATAATTGAGTCGTACAATTTCAGGTTTCATGCATTTGCTGACGACATCCAAATAATAGCCAACTCCTCTCCCTCGTCGTTTGGTAATGTGGTCGATAATTTAGTATCGTGTTTATCAGCCATTGATGTTTGGATGATGGGGCACAGATTAAAGTTGAACCAATGCAAGACCCAGTTTTTGCCTTTGGGTACATGGCAACAATATATCAACACTATTGGGGTATCAACACTATCAGAATAAAGAATCTGTCATCGAATTTTGTGCATCAGCACGAAATCTTGGATTTATTTTTGATACAAACATGACAATGCAATTGCACATAAAGTTGTTGAAAGAAAGTACTTACCAATTAAGAAAATTGAGACTCATCAAAGATCTCTAAATATGCATACATTGCAATGTTTAATTCACTCGTTCATTCACTCGGGGATCGATTATTGCAACAGTTTATTTTACGGTTTACCCAAAAAGTATGTTGCACAGTTACAATTAATTCAAAATCGGGCTGCCAAGTTGTTAACTGGTGGTTCATATTTTGATCATGTTACTCCTATTCTCTTCGATCTTCATTGGTTGCCCGTTCAACAAAGAATTGTCTTCAAAATTGCCCTACTGGTGTATAAAAGCATTAATGGATTAGCGCCGAAATATTTAATGGATCGAGTTCCAAGAAATGCACCGTTACAGTGTCAGAAGTTACGGTCAAACAATTTAGATTTGTTAACAATTCGACAAACTCAGCTTGCTGTTGGTTGCAGAGATTCTTTGCCGGTTGACTTGCGAAATCGTGGGTTGTCAATTACTGAATTTCGAAGAAAGCTAAAGAACCATCTTTTCAGACAAACTTTTCATGACATGATTTGATTGAAGTGAAACATTTAATTAACTTTTGCATTAGCGCATTTAATCAACTTTTACATTGTTAGCGCCATTGAGAACAATAAAGGGGGCTTTATATATAATAATCTAATAATAATAATTCATACATACATCCATACATACATACATACATACATACATACATACATACATACATACATACATACATACATACATACATACATACATACATACATACATACATACATACATACATACATACATACATACATACATACATACATACATACATACATACATACATACATACATACATACATACATACATACATACATACATACATACATACATACATACATACATACATACATACATACATACATACATACATACATACATACATACATACATACATACATACATACATACATACATACATACATACATACATACATACATACATACATACATACATACATACATACATACATACATACATACATACATACATACATATATATATACATACCCACAAACACATCACACACACAAACATACATACATATACATACACACATGTATGTTAAGTACCGCGTTATATTTATTCATTAATTTAATCTGCCGGCTGTTTAACTGTCCACCAGAATACATTTGCAAATGAACTTACTTTTTATTACATCTCCATTAAACGAAAGTAATTTTTTGGTAAAAAAAACAAACAAAACAAAACGTGAAGACGAGTCCGATCAGTCTCAAAAGTTTACTCACCTCTGATCTGACGTAGCATTCGTGGCCGCGAGTTTGCAAAATTCATTAAAATGTGAATGCACGGAGGTAAAATTTAAATGTTGCCGATACATTTGAAGGAAATTAGACGCTCGATGCGTTGGCGCGAGTGACAAATGTATACATAATATGAGTATGTGTCTTTGTGTGTGGATGCGTGTGTGTGTGTGTGTGTGTGTGTGTGTGTGTGTGTGTGTGTGTGTGCAAACTATTATTTTTTGTGATTTTCCTGCCTGTTTGCCTGTTGAAAGTTTTATATGAAGTTTTATTAAAAGAGCCGATTTGATGAAAAGATAATTTCTACAGTCTTCCTTACAAAGACTGTCCAACATCATTTGATGGTACAGAAGTCATTTCACTGACATTAGAGTTGTATGCTTCGTACAGTTTACAAGGGTTGAAACTTTTATTCAAGCTCGTTCTTTGGTGGATTATTACGATAAGTTACATGAACAAGATAAATATTTTATATAAAAAAATATTCGTTAAAAAATTACGTTGTCTTCAAGTTTTAAACCAAAAATCGTCGGAGATTTGTTTCGTGAGATATGTGAGGAATCGATGGTTTTCTGTCTGAATAATTCCATTAAATCAATTTTTTCGAAAAATATAAAATATGTAGTTTCAATTAAAAATAATTTCAAATTAAATAACATAATTTTAGACATTTTTATCATAATTTTTTATCTAACACATTTTTTAAACGACTAAATTTTTATTTTTGCAGGTAAAGAGCCAAACAACTTCAAATAAAAACATAGACTTTTTATCCATCAAAAAATATTTAATTTCACGGCATCGAAGAACTCATTTTGGAAATTTAATTTTTTTACTTTTCAATGGCTTATTTTTTACAGCGCAAAAAAATTGTTTAAGAACGAAAAACTTTTGGTTCGCTGGCTGCATAGTGGTCATAAGTAAAGGCAATCTGATAATTTCTATAAAAAAAATCAAATTTTTCAATCTTTCCAACTTTTCAATATTCATTAAATCAGAAGATGTTCAACAGCAACAGCGAAAATTTTGAAAGTCTCATCAACCGAACATCAACAACAGCAACACAACAACGTCACTAACTACACAACAACAGCAGCAACAACAACTACACAACAACATTAACAACAGCAACACAACAACGTCAATAACTTCACAACGACAACACAACAAAACCAAGTAACTAATTAGGAT